GGGGGAGGAGGAGGAAGAGGAAGAAGAGGAGGAGGAGGAGGAAGAGTAAGAAGAGGAGGAGGAGGAGGAGGAGGAGGAGGAGGAGAAGAAGAAGAAGAAGAAGAAGAAGAAGAAGAAGAAGAAGAAGAAGAAGAAGAAGAAGAAGAAGAAGAAGAAGAAGAAGAAGAAGAAGAAGAAGGAGAATCTCGTGATCTAGTAGCACACATGGAGTCAGGGGAAACCCTTATTTCTGTTACTGTTTATTTTTGCCAAAGGATGCTCTATGTTGCTAAACAGCAAAAGATCATAAGATCAAGTGATGGTGGATGTCTGCAGAGGAATAGTATGAACATATACTTATGAACACATAAGCTAACAGCGACTGAACTCTATGCATAAGACCCAAACAAGATCAAGCTCAGTCCAGATCCCATTATGGACTCAGGAGGGGGCTCATACGTTCCATCCCTAGCTGAAAAGACTGACTGCTGAGAGGGGAGGGAGAGTAAGTTTACTTCAGGGGTGTGGGCCCTGAGCAGCTACCCACGCTCCAGTCCTGCCCTATGCACATACAGGCAGCACTAAGTACACTTGGTGGGTTTTAAAACAAGGGATCGAAAGAGCACACAAAGTTGAGTGGGGAAAGCAGAGGTGGGAGAGGAAGAAGGGAGGGAATGGGGTGGATTTTGATCAAAATATATTACATGCATGTATGAAATTCTTAAAATTCTCAAACAATAAAAAGTTTCTAGAGCCAAGTATTGTGCTAGACTCAAAATTACAGAACCAAATTACACACAGTCCTTGCCATCTGGGATTTGGGAATTCAAACTCTGAATCGGACTGTATGTAAAACTGTTATGTACAAATGCTGCTGTGTGAGCGACCCAGAGTTTCTCAAAGGCCAGAGTCATCCCACTATGAGGATGCTACCTGCTCTGCTCTTTCCTCCACCCACAGAAACACTCTGAACTGGCTATGAAACTCTCTGCAGCCAGCCATTCCCTGCCTGCCTTCCCTCCTGCCCCCCAGGTTTCACAGTTCGAGACTGCCTTACCTTTAATGTGCTATTCAAGGTTCTGATCTTGTGGAGTTTCTCATTTACAGATGGGTTTTTGCACCGCTTGACAAAAGACTTTCTCAGTTCCTTCTTGGTTGAAGGCCGTCGGTCCCCGAGAGGAGACAGGCTAGCTTGCTCCAACGATTTATAGAGTTTCTCCATCTCATCATCTTCAGATACTTTTGTTTCTTCTGTTTAAAAAAGAACAGTGTCCATAAATTCAGTTAAAACCAAAGCACGGAATCAGACAACGTGTTCCTCAAACAGTCCTGTTCAGACCTTCCTCTCAGACTGTCAGTCTCCAGACATGTAAAGCAGTGATGTTCTGTTGTCGGGCCACTTATACCATGCTATTTTGCTGCTCAGGAAACCACGAACCACTTATTGATATATAACTGTAGCATTTCCTCATAAGGCCACACGCTGACCTATTGCTTGGAGACTTTGAGAGTACAGTATAGTACTTCAATTTACAAAATTTTGTGGGAGACATTTCAATCTACTTCTAGCCCCTTAAAATTTACATCCTTCTCTCACACAAATCCCACATATCTCATTTCAATAACTCCTAAACTCTTAAATCATTTGAATAGCAACTCCAAGATCCACCTCACATCCAAATCAGGCTAGGCGTTAGGCTAGGGGATAATTCATCTGGGTTCAAAATCCCTGTCCATTTCTGAACCTGTGAAATAGATAAGTTATCTGACAGGCAAGCCCTGTAAGCCAACGTTTACCACAAAGTCTGAACACCTATTTTCTGGTGCCTCCCAGTGTTTTCTGAGGAAGAAGTCTTCCTGTTCGCTGGTGGTAGAAGAAAGCATTTCTCACCCCGCACCACACTATATTACTCCCCGCTTTAACTATGCCTATCTGGCCTCAGCCCACCAGAGTCTAGAGAGCAGTGTGCCTCTACAGACCACTAAGGAATAGACACAAGGCTCAGGTAGGCCAGTGGGCACCACAAAGACTCAGTCCTAGAACATTTGTTTGGGTGTGTCAGGGATGTTTTCTACTTTTTTTTAAAAAAAGTAAATATATGAGCTAAAAGTTTCCAGGAGTTGTCCCAAGAATCAGAATGATGCCAGTGTTGTCTAGGAACCTCTAGACCTAAGGAGCCAGTATATTCCCCTTGTGAGGCTACAATGGGTATAGTTTTCAATCACAGGTAACCATGGGGACCTTAAATAACAGCAGCAACACCTGAAGAAAATTTTGACTCTGCGTGGCTTCTGTTTCTCATAGAACATTTCAATTCCTTGTCCCTTTGTTTCCTGAAAATGATCTTGGGAAATAAAGACAATGAGGTTTCTTTCCCTCACGAAGCCCTCAGTGTTTAGGTCTCCCCTCCTGTGCTGAGAAAGAAGATTCAGAGAGAGCCATATGGACAGTATGCTCACACAGGCAGACTGAAGAAAATGGGCTCTGAGACAGATACATAGGACACTGGAGGAATACCAGAACCCAGGGACTCACCTCACATCACAGTTGCTCTTCTGTGATTAGAAATCCTTAAAAATGAGTTTCTGCTCATTTACCTCAGATGGTCGTCATGAGTTATCCTCAACACTTGCTTGACATGGACAACAAAATCTTTCTAACAACTGACTTAAAGTATTAGCCAGAACAGCATTTTTTTCTTTTGTTTGAGACAATGTCTCACTGTGTAGCGTCAGCAAGCTGGAACTGACGATGTCAACCAGACTGTCCCAGAACTCACAGAGTTCAGATTATTTCTACCTCCTGAGTACTGAGATTAAAGGTGTGCACCACCACTCTTGACCCAGAGCAGCTACTTTGTCTCCTAATCAAATGGTATCAAAAAAAGAGAGGAAACTGTATAAAATATATCTGAAAATAGACCTTTGACCTCGTACATCATGCAACCACCAGAAGTCAACTTATGTTTATAAACTCATGAAAAGAAATCCTCATTGTTAATCACTAGGGAAATGAAAACCCAAAGCACCAAGGGATGCTGGGCCATACTTGTCTGGATGGCTAATATAAAGAAGACAGACAGTCGTTAAGAGTAGCCAAGGATGAGGAGAGATGGAGGCTCTCCTTTACCACCAGTAGAAATGAAAAGCAAGCCACCATTGTGGCTGATGGCCCTCAAGATGTTACAATGACAACAGCACCCTGCAATTCCAACCCCGCATTTATATTAAAGAGAAAGAGAAACACGTTCCCACATCAGTTGTACACAGCTGTACTCATCACAGCATAATTCAGAAGAAAAAAGGAGACGAACAGAAAGTTTGATCTGTGCTTGAGCGGATGAGGGAATGTGGTGTGTGCACACTAGAGCCCTCACCAGAAACCTAATGACATGTTAAATCTCAGACAGGAAGCACCTGGGAAGTTGAGGGCACAGACAGGAGGGAGGAGCGCCTGCCAGGCACAGGGTTTTCTTTCTGTGAAACTGAATGTTCTCGAGTCATGCTGTGGTGATAGCTCCCCAGCTCTGCCAACTGTGCCCACCAGTGAAAACTCGGAGGCTATGGGAAGTGTGTCACTCCAGAGGTAAAAGCTAAAGTGGGCTCTTAGAAGGCATCATGATAGCAGGTAGCGTGTTCACAGAGAAACCCCAAGTTTTAGAATTAAGTCTTTCAAAAGCAACAACAACAAATGGAGCCAGACCCTGTGATCCTAGCGGTTGGGAAGTAGAGACAGGAAGCTATCACATTCAAGGTCAGCCGGGGCTCTGAGGCAGATCTTGTTTCCCATAAACCAAGGCAAAGACAAGCAGCTCATAAAGACCCATTAGCATCGAGAACTTGTCACAAGCAGATGGACACATAACCCACTACGCCCTCTTTTTCATAGTCAACCATGTAACACTAGGTCTAAAAAATCCTCACTGTACATATTTCATAAGTAATATCCACAGAACAAGCTTTAAGAAATAAGAAAACGTACGAAAAGGCTAAATAAAGAACTGTTTCACTGAATTGCCTTGTGTGCACCAAGCAGTAGTTACTAAAGACAGAGATAAAAGCGCAATTTGTTTTTCACTAATACATTACAGTATAATTATGCCAGGGTAAAACTATAGCAAGATAATTCATCTGGCTCAACAGATAATAAATCAGTCAAGATAAAAATAAGCTTAGAGGTTTGGCATGAGAAGGCACAGAGTATGTTCTTCAAATTCAAAAAAAAAAAAGAATAGGATTTCTTCTTTGGGATAATTTTATTTTATTTTAATATATTGATGTAAAATATATAATGCTTATGTTCAAAATATCAGAAGCTGCATCTGTGCCCCCCCTCACTGACACATACATACGGTTTCTTTACCTAGTTTAAACTTTAGGTTGTTAGTCATGAAGGTATTAATTAGCTTGTGTGTGCATGTGCGTGCATGTGTGTGCATGCATGTCTGTGTGTGTGCATACAAGCATAGGCATGTGTGTGTGAATGTACATGCATGTGTGTGCATGTGCGAGTGTGTGTGAGTGTGTGCATGTATGTGCATGCATGTCTGTGTGCACGTGTGTGCACGTGTGTGCACGTGTATGAGTATAAGTCAGGCATGTGTGCATGTGCGTGCATGAATGTGCATATGTGAGCACGTGTGTGTGTGTGTGTGTGTGTGTGTGTGTGTGTGTCCGTGTAAAAGACAGTTCTCTGTAAGCCATCTGCAATGCCTGAAAAATAAGGATTTTTGCTTCAGCCCATCCAGGAGCAAGATCCCTGTAAGGACTCGGTATGTCCAGTTAAAGACCAATTGGCGAACAAAAACAAATCAGTCATCTGGTTCTTCTCCCTTAGCAGAAACCAGAACCTGAAAGACTAATATCAGACCTCTAATAATACAATTCTCAAATGCTCCACAAACTCATAGAAAATGAAAGAGCAGATAGTACCATCAGGAGTAAAGAAAAAGGCTTCAATGACTTTCTACTGAGTCCTACTCTAGGAGAGGTGCGGTGTGTTACCAGACACCCAGGAGACTTGTCTGTGACTTATCCACGTCCACACCAAGACAGGGGATATGTATTGTTTTTACTGCTGTTAGTGACTGGTGCTTAGGTCGTTGCAGGACCATAAAATGAACATCTAGTAATAACAGAAGCAGGTGATAATGGAAACATTGGATAAAGGTGGATCCAAAGCTACACATGTATGACAATACAGCTTGCCCCTGACCATGAAATAAGGAGAGAGGAGTCCTTCTGAATGGTGTATCTGCTATAGTGCTGCTGGGTCACCCTCTCCAAGCATGGCTGTACCATGATGGGTTGCTGTAGGAGCTCAGGCCCTGCCAAAGCCTCTCTGAATTAGCCTTTTAATATCATTCTAATACTTATTTTATTCTGTGGGTATGAGTGTTTTGCCTGCATGTCTGTATATGCACCATGTGCATGTATGCCTGGTGCCAGCGGAGGTCAGAAGAGGCATCAGAACCTCTGGATCTGGAGTTGCAGACAGTTGTGAGCCCCCATGTTGATGCTGAAAGCCTACCGAGGTCCCCTGCAAAAGCAACAAGGGGTACTCTGAACCACCGAGCATCTCTTCAGCCCCTCTAGGTTAGCCTTGTAGTGAAATAAATTTAACACCCCCTTTTGTATGCATGCAGTTCTTTTCTGAGTTATATTTTCATTCTAGAAAGCACGAATTTATCTTTCTCCTCTTACCAGATTGCAAAGATAAAGATGAGAGGGTTGGCAGGAGCGATCCCTCATCTCTCCCCCATTGGAAACAGAAGCCTTGTGAGTTATTTCCACCTCCCTTATCTCCCGAGACAAAACAAGTGATTTTTGTCTGACAGTGAAGCGTCCCCTCTCAAGTGTATATCGCTGTCTTCCCTGTGGGACAGGACTTCAGTTCCCACTGACACATGAGCAACTGATGGTCTATTGCCCTTCATCTCACTAGTGCTTTGTCAAGGTTGGAAGCATTATCTTATAGACAAGGAAAGTAGAGAGTCTTGAAAAATAGTCAGTGATTTTTTTTTCTCTCTGCTGCCAATTAGTGCTAGGCACTAAAAATAAAAGCTCCATTTTGTGTAGGCCCATGTGTTTCTAGACCATTCTTCACAAATCTGAACAGGGAAACAGTCTCCCGGGGAACTTAGGAAAATGTAGGTTCTGCTTCAGTCCATCTGGGATGGTGTTAATCTAAGCGTGTGTGTGTGTGTGTGTGTGTGTGTGTGTGTGTGTGTACACCAGATTGCACATGAGTG